TTATAAGGATACAGGCATAGTAGGGGCAGGTGCTAGATAGTCATAGGCATGCAAGCAGTCTATTACCAACTCCCTCTCTCTCTCTCTCTCTCTCTCTCTCTCTCTCACTCACTCACACACACACACACACATACACATATACACACACACACACACACTTACAAACACACGTATATGCACACACAGATATATATATATAGAGAGAGGGAGAGAGAGAGAGAGAGAGAGAGAGAGAGAGAGAGAGAGAGAGAGAGAGAAATTTGAATGTAGCGTCACCAGAGAGTAGTAGATCGGCACAAAAGTACACGTAATGGAATCGAACAATCCATTTCCACACCTTTGGCTGAACCACTCCACAACCAACCTTCAAGGACAGCTGCGGTCGAACATGGGACGGATGGTGGAGTGCCAACCCTTAGTGTAATCATACCATACGTCCGTGGATGGTAGGCCTCAATTGTTGGTCAATAAATAAAAAAGTCGTATATATTAATTACACTCAGTATTGTTGGCTTTTAAGGCTCACAAGCACAAAGACATCCCCGCCTCCCTCCCCCCCCCCCCCCCCTCATGTTTTCTTTCTATTTTACACACAGATTTCAGGTATCTACAGAGACATCGACGACCATACGATTCTTTGTGTTTAAATCATGTTGCACATGATGCATCGTTGAAAGTTTCACGACGAACTGCTTGAGCAGTTTGATAAAAATCTCGCGGGGCACGTCGACATCACCTGCAACCATGTCGTGAAGTAGTTTCTCGGTCTTAACATCACTTACTCACCAGAGGCCATTCATCTCTCAGCAGCCAAGTACGCAGAGGAACTTGGCAAGCACTTCAACATTGCACCAGCACCACTCTCCACCCCTTACCGCACTCCAGGACCCAACCACAAGCCTGACAACAAAGCCCTGTCCCCCGCCGGGCTTCAGACCTACCAGCAGTAGCTGGGATGCCTACTCTTCGCCTCCGTTACCTGCAGGCTCGATCTCTCGTACATCGCGAGCCAACTGGCTCAGTACTCTCGCAAACCAACGGCTGAGAATCTCCTAGATCTTCAGCGGGCCCTGCAATTCTTCATCTCCACGCCCAATGTTGGGCTCTGCTACTCTACAATCCCAACCACATCCTTCAACCTCATCGGCTACGTGGACGCTGATCATGCCGCTGACCCTGACAATCGACGGTCCAGGACATGCTTCCTTTTTCGCCTCGAGCCTAGCGCCCCCATCTCCTGGAATTCGTAGAAACAGGAGCTGGTTGCCCTGTCGTCAGCGGAAGCCGAGTTCATCGCAACAACAGCAGCCGTTCGCGAAGGCCTCTACCTTCAGGAGCTGCTGCAGGAGGCGAAAATTCCAGCTTCGCCGAACTTCCGCCTGCACTGCGACAACCAGAGCGCGATCAGGATCGCGAACAAGCCTGGATTCGTCAACCGCACCAAGCACATCGCGCTGCGGTACTTCTTCGTCAAGGACGAAGTTGACAAGGGCAAGGTTGACCTAACCTATTGTCCGACGGGTGACATGGCAGCCGACCTTCTCACGAAGCGACTGTCACGTCAGCAGTACCAGCACTGCTCCGAACTCAGCGGAGTAGTCAAGCAGGTCAAGACTCGCTACGGCCAGGAGTGAAGGGGGGTGTTACGAATAGTACACTGAACGAAATTATTGTCCACATGCACTAAAATCAAGAAATGAATGTGCATTAGTAGCTATTGGGTTTAAGCCTTAATAACAGGGCGCCATAAGGTTAAAGCTCGGAGTGTTATACATCGAAACACGTGGCGTCTAGGCCCTAAACTCGGTTGAACAATCAGCGGATATAGGATTAGGCAAATACTAGAATATGGACAGATTTTTACAAATACAGTCACAGATGCAAACCAAGCAGAATCTAGTACTTGGTCCAGCGACCCTTGGCCTTGAGCACAGCCACACACGCCTAGGCATGCTGTCGATCAGCTCACTGCACCAGGCCGCTGGGATTTTCTCCCATTCCACTTGAACTCTGTCCCATAGCTCGAGAATGCCTGCAGGGGGGCGGGGGTAAGAAAGCAGCTGCTTCTTCAAGTAAACCCACAGATGTTCTATGGGGTTGAGGTCCGGACTAGATGCTGGCCATAGGAGAACAGAGTACGGCTGCTCGGCTAGGTAAGTTTTGACCATCTTGCATGTATGCTTGGGGTCGTTGTCATGCTGGAACACAACTGATTCGGGATCCAGCTCGTAATGCTCGATAGTCTGCTGAAGCTCGTCTTGCAAGATTGAACGGTATAACTCCACGTTCATTCTTCCCTCTATCTTGCACATAAAATCCGCGCCGTTGTATGTCATGCACCCCCAAATCATGATGGAGCCGCCGCCATGTTTGACGGTCTGTTTCACATGGTGCGGCTCCATGTGACAGTCCTGTCTAATCCAGGCCCAACTACGTCTGTCGCTACTAAACCGGCAGATCTTCGTTTCGTCGCTCCAAACCACGCGTTTCCAGTCGTCGATCGTCCAGTGCTGATGGTCCTTGGCCCACTGCCTGCGGTCCTTGACATTTTTCTCGGATAATCTAGGCTTCGACGGCTTTTCAATCCCCCTAACTCTGTGCCGCTTGAGAGTGTTTCGAACGGTGGCGCCAGTGACATTGATGCCGTGCGTAGAAGCTATCATTCCCGTTGCGGCCTCGGCGGATTTCGATTCACTAGAAACTATCGACCTTACGACTATCCTCGCGATTTGCTCTGGTAGCTTGCGCGGCCGACCAGGTTTCACCGGGGACGGCACTAGCTCCTCGTATGTTTTCGGACCGAGGTGGCGGAGGAGCTCGTCATGGACGGAGGACTTCGAAACTCCCAACTCCTTAGCGATTTGGCGGTAACTACGCCCCTCCGCAATTAGCTGCATGATGCGCTTCTGTTTCTCCACACTAAGGCGCTTCATGCTGCGGGGTTGTTAGCGCTACGCAAAGATCGTAGAAACCGCCCGTAATCTCCTCTGTACCAGAATCTAGTCTAGATCTAACTGCGCACGAAATAAAGCGCGGGACATTTCGGAAGGATTTGTCCGTGTGGGGTGTCGAGAGGGAAGAGCTGACTCGTTAGAGCGAGAGGCTTTTTGGGGGTTTTAGGTAACCTACACAAACAGGTAACACACAGTCGCGAACGCCAAACGCAATTTGTTTATTACAATTCTTGATTTTTTTGCAATTGGGTGCAATTTCCTGTACAGATCGAATACATAAGGACAATAATTTCGTTCAGTGTAATTGGTGAAACATTACTGTGCACTCCTGACAGCAGCAATCGAAGTATGCAGTACCGAGGCTGAAGACGAAAGGGCGGAAGTGACGCGAAAGGGTCAAACGGTTACGCAGCATCTGGACCGTCAAGGCAGACAGCATCAGGCAGCAGCAGTGGCGAGGATTCTGCCCGGACAGTTTCGTAACCGTCTGGAGTCGCACGGTTGGGTTTCGCTGCAATAAGGGAATGTACCCCTTAGAGTACATGGCTAGCCTAGGTCGATTGGTATTCCCTTGTACTCTTAGGGAACATTCCTGTGGGGACACAAGTGTCTCAATCCCGTCACAAAACCAATGTACCATTCTGCACCGCATTACAGCTATGAATCGAACATTTCCACCGCACTGTATCTCGTCGATTGAGACGCGAGGCTTTTGTGACGCGCTTCAGGAATGTTCCCTTATTTATATTCCCGTACTTACATGTTTTTATCATCTCAATCATTTTACATCCACTCTGAATTGAGGTCAAGGGCCCACCACTACCAATCAGTTGTGTGCGAACCTTCCTGAGGTGATCCTAGGGACGATCAACTTCTTGATCGCATCATATACAATAGTAACACGAGTATAATTCTAGTTTGACAGGATCTAGACACATGTCATCGCGAGCAAGTACGATCGAATGTGGTCCCTTTTATGCCACGTTCAATTCCTTACTGAAGTTGGCGAAGCCCGGCGACAGGTACAGTCCTACATACCTCCAAGACGAGTGCCAAGACGTTGAACAGTGCCTCGTATGAACATCAGTTATGGACGATAAACCGGATAACCTACGTATTGTAGGCGCGGCTCAGCGCGCTTTCTACAAGGTTGACTCTCTCTATTTCTGTACCTCGTGTTAGCATTGTGACTGAACAGTAATTGTGACAAGTATTTAGAACCCTTCAATTCTCACAAGTAGGCTACGGTCTCAAACTTCACAAAACCCTTGGTACATTTGAGTATATAAAGCAACTTTACACTCTTGCAGCAATGGCACCGCGCCCTAACGGGTTTTTGCCTCGGATCATGATCAGAAAGTTCTAGACTGCAGGATCTGGGCGAAATGTCTGAGCGAAACTATCCGGTAACGCAATTTCCGCCACAGTTACCGTAAACAAGCCTACCCTGAAGTATTCGTTGTCGCCAATACTTTCGTCTTCGGTGCACATGTCAGGGACGTGCTCAAACAGCTTCGCAGGTTTGTCGCCAGAGTGCGAGGGGCTGAAGTCAAACACAGAAGGCCAGAGAAGAGACGTGCTAGTGGAATTGCGCCCACACCATGCGCGAACTTCTTCCCCCTTCTTGGCGAAACCTTTTCGCTCATGATGTGTTCGTATCAAGCACCAAGTCACCACACCACCACTCCACGAACACAGGCAAACACAGCACGGGAAAGTATCATCCACACCAGGAAACTTGTGCATCACGCTGGGATCGTTCTGTTGTCCTCTCCTCTGGTGGTTGTCAATTCCCCATACATCCAGTCCTGACACACGTTTTCCGATCACGCGACGATGAAGAGTGCGCGAGGTCGCGAGAGCTCTCGCCTGCTGTCGCTCCCCGACGAGCTTCTCCAGCCCATTCTCGCGCGCGTCGACCACCCGCGCGATCGCTGCAGCCTCGCTCTCTCCTGCTCACACCTCCGCCGCCTCTCGCGCCGCACGCCCCACGCGCTCCGCCTCCACTTCTTCAGGAAAAAACAGGGCGTCACTGCCCGGGAATGGATGAAGAGCCTCGACATTTATTCAGGGGTATTTACCCATGTAATCGACCTTGCGGTGGAGGTTAGCTGCACCACCATCGACCAGCTGCTGAGGGGAATCGGCGCGGGCTGCCCGAAATTGGAAAGGTTGAAGCTGGTCTCGTTGCGCGGCGACCCGCGGTTTCAGATCAACCCCGCGCCTTGGAGGAAGCTCGCGCGGCAATGCCCGTGAGTGCGGTTTGGTTGTCTTGCCGCGACGGCGCCCCTACTACTAATACTTTGCTCCCACCCACCCTCGCGTTCATTCTCTAACAGCTGCGAATCTTTTACCCAATAGGTCATTTCCTTCCACAATACCGCGCGTCTCGTCTCCTTCATCGTTTCGCTTCTAGAAACCTTTTGGTTCTCTCTCCTTCACCATGGCACGAAAATTGCACTCACTTTATTATTGCGAACGGGGTTCACATCACATTCATGCTCTTGTACCCTTAAGGCTGTGTTCCGCCCTTATAGCTCTTGTGCCAAGAAGGAATGTTATTCAATTCGCAGCGAACCTCCTAGCATCCAACTCCCGCCATTTCTTTGCACTCATGTGTGCACCGTTTCCTTCCTCCGCTTCGCCACTTACTGTCCATACATTTTGCACGGTGTTTATGAGAATTCTCAAAAACACCTTGTGCGCCTCGTTTCCTGTCTGCCCTTCCCCGCTCACGCGTCTTTACTCAGACCCCCCTCTCTCTCTCTCATGTGTCCCTCTCTCCTATTCCCTTCACCCCTTCCTCACCCCTCGCTCTCCGTGCATCGCCAATTTCTCTTCGTCTCACCCTCCCGCCCGCCTTACCCACATCTTCGATTCTGTTCAATAGCGCGCCTCCCTTCACGTTGTCACTTGCAAACGCTCTGAACCGCGTTAACAAACTAGTCAGTCATGGGGCATATGTACCTTCTCCCTCCTTCCAAAGGGGCAAGTTGCTTACCATAGCCACTTGATTCATGCCCCACTCATCTTCACCCACCTCCCCCTTCATCCACAATCCCGACTTCCAACACACAACACCGCACCGTCCCTTCAATCCACTCTTCTCAAACCTTCCCAACCCCCCCCCCCCCCCCCCCTCCCTCCCTTCGTTTCCCCTTGCCGCCACCTCTCGCGCTTCCTCTCCCCCTCGCATCAGCCGCATAACGTCACTGGAGCTCGACTCCCCACTCTACCGGAGTTACAACGAGTTCAACGAAACTCCGCCTCCCCCAGTAGACGCCTTCCCTGCACTGCGCTCACTCACCCTCCTCTACGAGCCGTCGCACTACCGCTTCATCTCCCGCTGCTCCTCCCTCACCTCCCTCACCCTCTGGCGACCCGACGCCTTCGCCCTCTTCTCCCTCGCCTCTTCCTCGTCCCCTCTCCGCCTCTCCCTCTCCTCCCTCACCATCCACTCCGCTTGGCTCGAAGCCGCACTCACGCCCCTCGCCGCCTTCCCCCGCCTCGCCTCTCTCGCCTTCCACTCCTGCAGCATCGACCCCTGTGAGCTGCACGCCCTCTCTCGCTCCCTCCACACGCTCACCCACCTCGACATCCACGACTGTCCCTTGGTCTCCAGTCATTCCCTCGCTGCCTTGGCTGAAACCAACCCCGCTCTCTCCTCCCTCTCCCTCCACTCCACCTCCTACCCTCTCTTCGCCGCTCAAGGCCTCCGGAACGTGCTCCGCTCGGTTTCCTCCCGCCTCCACACCCTCACTCTCTCCGGGCTGCCCTCGTTCCGCCCCGGCTTGCTTGCACGCTGCAGCGGTCTGAAGCGGCTCACGGTGAGAGGAAGGGGGGAGGCGAGGGAGAGTGTATCGCCCTCTGAGTCACCGCAGAAGCCGTCTTTGGAGGGTCTTGTGGCCATGCTGGTGCGCGTGGAGCAGAGGGCAGGCGGCGGAGGAATGGAGGGAGGGGACGGTGTAGTGGAGAGAGGGGACGGGGAGATGGTTGTGGGGCACGAGGGGGGCGGAGGCTCAGCTGCTTCTGCTTCAGCAGCAGCAGCAGCAGCAGCAGAAGAAACACCAGAAGAAGCAACAGCAGCAGGAGCAGCAGCAGAAACAACAGCAGAAGAAGGCACGGCAGTGGCCGCTGATAAGGGGACGAGGGGCAACAGGAACCGGCGGTACTACCTGGATATCCGTGCAGAAGCAGCAGCAGCACGCGCGGACACGGTCGCAGCAATCGACGAGTCAAGGGCCCTGCTGACGACCGCTCGGCAGAAGCTCAGGAAAGCAGCTTCGGAAGCCCTGCAGACCCGCCGCATGCACGGGGAGGCTGCCCTCGCGAATATCCGGCAGGCCGTCATTCTGGTGCGAGCCGCCATGTCTCTGTGCCGGTGCTTGCGCGTGGCTGTGGCCCACGTGGACGGCCGGGCTGCACGCGAGAAGGCACTGGCAAAGGTCGGTTCTGCTGCTGAGTCTGCAGGGTTCTTCACTGCAGCAGTGGATTGTGAGAGAGAGGAGGGCGAACGGGAGAGGGAGGGGCAGGGGGGAGGAGGAGGGGGGGAGGTAGAAGGGCTGGTGAATTTCACCCCTGAGAGTGACCTGCCGGCTGATCTGGCGGAGGTGAGTGAGACGCTGCTGGGGGAGCAGACGGGTATGTGGCCGGCGTTTGTGGCTGTGTCGCGAGCAGAGGCGCGCGCGCTGCTGCATGCGCAGACGGAACAGCTGGTGGAGCACATGGAGGCCATCAGTGATGCCTTTGAGGCCGATCCGCCACCAGCAGTGCTTCGGGCAGCTGGGGCACCAGGGGCACCCATCGCAGTACCGCCACCAGTGCCAGGGGCAGCGGCACCAGGGGCAGCGGCACCAGGGGCAATGGCACCAGGGGCGCCCATCGCAGTGCCGCCACCAGTGCCACCGCTGGTTGCACGAGGAACAGCTGCAGCAGCAGATGGGGCGGCAGCAGATGGGGCGGCAGCAGATGGGGCGGCAGCAGATGGGGCGGCAGCAGATGGGGCGGCAGCAGATGGGGCGGCAGCAGATGGGGCAGCAGCGCAGGAGCTAACTAGTGCAGAAGGAGAATCAGGAGGCCAGTGGGTGAGGGTGCGAGCATGGAAGGAGCATCGCAGCAGGTGCCAGAGTCGGGAGGAGGTTCGGGAGAAGAAGACGAGCAGCTGGGCACCACAAGCCCAACGGATACGCACGCACCCTTGAAGGGGCGCACAACAACCCCAAACGAGAGCATTCCCATACCCTCCAGAAAGACCACACCCCCAAATAAGAGCACACTCTCAATTCCTGTGGAGGTGTTTTGCCCTCCATTGGAATCTCTAACCCCCGAGAGCATTCAGTTCGCCTCCACATGTGACCCGTCCTGGATGCCTTCCCCCCTCCTCTCTGCCTCGCCCCTCATGTGCCCCTTTTCCCACACTTCCTCACCCCACGCTTCCCTCCCTTCATCGTCCTCCTCCCCCAATCCTGTTCCAAGCGTGAGCAGCGAGCCACAGTCCTTCAAAGCTCTCGCACGGGCTGCTGTGTGTGGAAGGCTCAAAAGCCTGGCTCTCGTGAACTGCACTGGACTGGGGGAGCGGCAGCTGGTGAGGCTGCTCAGTGCATGTGGCATACTGGAGGAGCTGAGGGTGGAAGGCAGTGATGGGTTCTCAGACACAGTGATTGCACGGAGTCAACTGGAGGTGTTGACTCGGTTGACTGTGGTGGGGAGCGGTGGAGTCACTGCAGATGGCATTGGCGGGCTGCTAGGGAACGTGCCAAGGCTGCGGTACTTGAAGGTGGAGGCGAGTAAGGTTTCTGAAAGGGCTCGCCGGGAGTTGCTTCGTGCAGGAGTGGTTGTTAGGGGAGTGTGAGTTGTTTATTCTTGGGACGGCTACCAGTACCGGTGTAGGTTCTTGTTTTCTTCGTCTAATAAATGACCACCAATCGCTTTGGTGTTGATTCTATCTGAGGGTGGAGCTGAATGCAATGCACATTCCAGCTTCTTTGTTGAGGGCTGCTTGCACTCTTGTAAGATGAGGTGAAGCCATGACTAAATGTAGAGATTTCTTGAAAAACTCAGCCTCAATATATATCGACCCAATGTCACACTCACTTTCTTGTTGACATGCTGGAAGTCAACTTATTCTCATGGAAACATGCAGGTACCAGTGCTTACGGTATTATAATTATAACATGGTTGGTATGAAAGGGGTTCATTTGTTTACACCAACCAACCACCACCCGACCCGAGGGTGCTTGTCTGGGGAAATAAGGTACGGTACATCTTGTCGAAATAGCAGGCACAAGCTAGAAACAGGAATGAGGGTTTTCACTAGCAGGCAGTTGAGTACATATAGCAAACCCTAATTTGGGCTGTACTCGCTATAGAGTACCCCACTGCAGGCTAGACAAACATTACATTCTGACACACCCCCATAGTCAAAGTGGGGTATAATCAGCACAGCAAGCAGATGTCAGAATCTAGCAGTAGGAATGATTGAACTATCAAAGAGTTGGGTACAAGTATGAAACCCTAAAAGGGGCTGTACCCGATATTGGCTACCCCACTACAGCCTACACATATATAACAAGCATATGCTTTGACACACCCCCATAGGCAAAGTGGGGGAGAGCAAGGGGTCACAAGACCAGTCAAGAGAAGCAAAGCAAGCTCAGGGTGGATCACAACGTCACCACACACACTGAGCACAAGCAAAGGGCCACAAGGTCAGTTCATGTCAGAATGTGATGTTTGTGTATCCTGCAGTGGGGTACTTTGTAGCGAGTACATCCCGAATTAGGGTTTGCTATATGTACTCAACTGCATGCTAGTGAAAACCCCTCTTTCGTGTTTATCGTTTTTGCCTGCATTTTGACATGCTATCAGAGCAGGTCGACCCTCCTGGGTCGATCCTGTGGGTGGGCCCCACCCAATGCTTCCGCTGCGGTTTCCTGCTGTCCCCTGCCTGCCGCGCGCTCCGGGCGCGCGGCGATTTTTCATCCCGCCGCGCGCTCGAGGCGCGCGGCGGTTTTCTGCCCCGTCGAACCGCGCGTCGCCCCCTGTCGACCGTCGCGTCGCCCCCCGTCGCCCGACGCGGCCCGCGCGACCTGCGCCAGGCCCGCACGCGACCCGTACGGGCTGCGCCAGGCCCGCGCGCGGCCCGTACAGCCCGCGCGCGGCCTGTACAGCCCGCGCGCGGCCTGTACGGGCTGCGCCAGGCCCGCGCGCGGCCCGGGCAGCCTGCGTGCGGTTCGTCCCGAGCTTCTGACCGCGCCCCACCCCCGCTGCTGCCCGCGCTCCTGTGTTAGGGTTTGGGGGTGGAGAGTATGGGGGTGCCGGGTGTGTGAGCCGTCCCCTGCTCCTCCTCCTCCTCCGTCTCCCACTGCTGCAGCTGCCGCTGAGGGGGGTGGATGTGTTGGAGCCGTCGGAGTGGTACGAGGGGGGTGGCGTGTGAGCGGTGCTAGTGGTTCAGCAGGGAGTGTGTGAAAGGGGTGTGGGACAGTTGGGGGAGGTTGACAGGAGGTGGCCGTTGTGACGTCTGCAGCGCCAGTAGTCCGGGGGTTGAGTACTCCGGTATCCCAGCGAGCCTGCTGCTGCCAGTCGCCCGTGGGTCTGTTGCTCCTGCTGCTGCTTAGCGCGGAGCCAGTTACTCCTGTAGTCCGGAGGTTGAGTGCTCCGGTAGCCACCGTGCGCGCCGTTCCTGTTGCCCGTGTGTCTGCGGCTTCACCTGTCGCCTTCTATCTTCACTCCTCTCACAGTCTCTCCTCCTCCTCACTTGCCCTCTGTGACTGCCTCTAGCTTTGCTTATCATTGTGAACTATTGCTCTATGACTGCTTGTTGTGTTGATTGTACCCCACTTTGACTATGGGGGTGTGTCAGAATGTGATGTTTGTGTAGCCTGCAGTGGGGTACTCTGTAGCGAGTACAGCCCGAATTAGGGTTTGCTATATGTACTCAACTGCATGCTAGTCAAAACCCCTCTTTCGTGTTTATCGTTTTTGCCTGCATTTTGACAGTTCACATGCAGAGGTATATATGCAACAACAACAGCACAGTGATCTCTACCTAGCAGAGCAAGCATGCAGGTATATATATAGATCACAGTACAAGCAAAGTCTACAGCAAGTGAGGAAACGTGGGCACAAGGCCTAACATTGTGCAGAAACGCTGATGATCACCAAACGGAAGCGCCTTGGTGAATATATCAGCAGTGTTGGCCCGAGTGGCCACGTGAGCAAGACGAAGCTGACCACGCTGCTGCAACTCTCGAGCCAGGAAGTAACGCAGAGCGATGTGCTTCGTTCTGTGCTCCAGTCTGTGCTCCTGACACAAGGCAATGGCGGCCTTGTTGTCGACGTACAGCACTGGAGGAGAACGAGGCCGCTCTCCCAAGTCGGTCAGCAGGTAGGTGAGCCAGCGTAACTCCTGTGCAGCCATGGCTGTGGCGTAGATCTCAGCCTCACAAATGGAGCTGAGAACTGAAGACGAGCGCGTAGAACGCCAAGAAACCGAACCAGAGCCAAGACTGAAGGTGTAACCCTGCGACGACCGCTGCGTAGCCTGGTCGTCAACCCAAGAAGCGTCTGAGTGCCCAGTGAGGACAACGTCGCTCCGTCCTCCAAGCACGAGCCCCATGCCCGATGTACTGCACAAGTAGCGTAGTACCCTCTTAGCAGCATCCATGTGCACCTTTCGGTGCCGACCAGGAGCCACGTAGCGAGCCAGAAGGCCAAGAGGGTACGCAAGGTCAGGACGAGTGCAGGTCATCAGGTACATGAGGCAGCCCACTAGCTCTGGGTAAGGACCACTCGGCTCTACGGACTCGTCCGAAGGTGGAGCTGAGAGCGAGTGACCTGTAGCCAGAGGAGTGTGCTGTGCCGAGGACCAGGTTAAGCCGAAGCGCTGAAGGACCTGCTGCACCATCTGGGACTGAGTCAGTGTGATGGTGCGGCGTGCTCTGTCCCGGGTGATCCGCAAGCCAAGATAGCTTGTCAGCTCACCCAGGTCTGTGCACGTGTGTCTCTTCTGCAGCTCCGACTTCACCAGGGCGAGAGCCTCAGTGTCAGTAGTGGCAAAGACCAAGTCGTCGACGTACACGAGGATGTAGAACGGCGGCAGCGAAGTGTCGGTGCGCAGAAACAGCGACGGGTCAGCAGTCGACGGAGCAAACCCAAGAGCCGCAAGTGTCGTCCTCAGTGTGTCGTGCCACTCACGTGGCGCCTGGCGGAGACCGTAGACCGGCCGCCTGAGGCTCCACTGGGTACCAGGAGGGAACGACCCAGTGAAGCCAGGTGGGCGGCGCAGCCAGATCTCCTCGTGCAGGCTGCCCTGTAAGAAGGCTGTGCTGAAGTCAAGAGAGTGAAGCTCGTAGTCACGCTGAGCGGCAACGTGCAGCAGCACCCGAAGAGTGGTCATCTTCGGGGTGGGGGAGAAGGTCTGGAAGAAGTCTACTCCCTCTCGCTGACTGAAACCTCGTGCAACGTAACGCGCCTTGAAGGCAGGCGGAGAACCTGGCGGCCGCTTCACCCTGAAAATCCACATGCCACTGACGATGTTCGCCCCAGGTGGGGGAACCTCGTCGACGTAGGTGCCTGTGGACTTCCAGGATGCCATCTCTGCGTCCATGGCTGTCTGCCACTGCGAGGAGTACTCACCCGCGATCGCCTCAGCGTACGAGCGCGGGGTCGGGATGTCTGGAGCATCCGGGTCTCCCTCAGGGGCAAGCAGCATGGACACGAGATGAGGCGCAGCGGCTGCAAGACACTCAAGGTCCTCCTGCCTGTTCTCAAGGACGTCCGTGCCAAGAGCACACTCACCCCCGACGGACGGAGGACAGACAGACTCAGACTCAGCAACAAGACTAGCGGCGTAGTCTAGACGACAGGCAGCAGCAAAGTCAACAAGCTCAGCAACTAAGGCAGACGTAGCAGCAGACTCAAACGATGGGTCAGTGACAACAGTGGCTAGCAGACGCGTGACAGTAGGGTGCTCAGCACGAAACCGGTCAGACTCGGGGTCCGCAACGACAGGCAGAGAAGACGCAGGAGGGGACGGCAGAGGAACACGCTGCAGAGGAGAGGAAGGACGACGGACTACGAGGTGGGTGTCGGGGACAGCCGGCAGACGCGGACGAGGAACACGACGACCGGAACGACCAGAACAGACAGGCAAGACAGGACGCGACGCAGGCTCACGACGCTCAGTAAGACCCCCTAGCTGCTCAGTGTAAGGAGAAGGAGCAGGCAGCGGTGAGCCAGGCTGTAACGAAAGACCAGTAGACGAAGGGAGACTAAGAACCTGGCGAAGCACAGAGTCAGGCGGTGGCTGAGACGACGGAGACGGTGGAGCGAAGAACAGGCGCGGCTGTGCAGTGACACCAGCACCAGCAGCTCCAGTACCCCCAGCAGCTCCAGCACCTCCAGCAGTCCCTGAACCCTCAGCGCCAGCTCCTCCAGGACCAGCTCCACCAACAGGAGCACCCCCAGAACCGGCACCTCCAGTCCCAGGGTCTCCAGCCTCAGTGCCTCCAGCAGCAGCAGAACCCTCAGCGCCAGCTCCTCCAGGACCAGCTCCACCAACAACAGCACCCCCAGAACCGGCACCTCCAGTCCCAGGGACTCCAGCCTTAGTGCCTCCAGCAGCAGCACCCTCAGGCTCAGCACCTCCAGCCCCAGCAGCTCCAGTACCTCCAGTACGAGCACCTCCGGGACCAGCACCACTCCCAGCTCCAGTGACGGCAGCAGAAGTACCTCCAGCGGCAGAGCCCCGAGCTCCAGAAGCGCGACCCTGACGGCGACCGTACCAGTCGTGCAGCTGCTGCGGGGTGAGAGGCACACGCGGACGAAGGCGGCTACTCCGAGGAAACCGCG